ACAGCCCAAGAGGGCCCCCAGACGGCTCCAAGACAGAGCCCAGAGGGCACCTTTTCGAGCCTTCGGCCCCAAGACGCCCCCAGCCTGCCCCAAGAACAGCCCAAGAGGCCCTGAGGGACCCCCAAGAGAACCTCAGAGGCCTCCAAGAAGCCCCCAGGAAGCCCCCAAGAGGCCCCAAAACTTGGCCCAAGATGCCTCGAGGCGGCCGGATATGGCCTGCAAACAAGCCAAAATTCCACCACAAGGCCACAAAAGAGCACCGGGAGGTACGATAACAACAACGAAGCAACAGGAACGACGTCGAGCGCCGTGTCAGGATGCGGACAAACCTCGTGAAATGAAGCCCTTTAGGCGCAGGAGTTTATATACGGGTCGGCGGATGTGGCGTAAGCCTACAGAATCGTCGTCCTCGAGTTGCCCTCAGCACCCGCTCACCTCGTGGATTACGTTGCTCCCATCGCACCGAAGGACCACATCCCAGAAATAATTTCGAGCACCCGGAAAAGTGTCGAAACAGTGTCGAAACAGTGTCGAAACAGTGTCGGGCGAGTGTCGCCCAGGGCCCGACACGTGCAAACCATCGAGTTTCGGCACTTTTTTGGGCGCTCGAAATTCTTTCTGGTGATCGAGGCTAAAGTAGGTTGGAGCATCATAACCCTCCCCCCCCTCTTCCTCCTCCTCCTCCTCCTCCTCGCCCTCCTCCTCCTCCTCGCCCTCCTCCTCCTCCTCCTCCTCCTCCTCCTCCTCCTCCAACTCTACCTCCTCCTCCTCCTCCTCCTCCTCCTCCTCCTGGAGAACGCAGGCGCCCGAAGCCAGAACCAAACGCCGGGGGGCCGGCGCGAGGCGGCGCCTGGCTGCGCGTCCTGCCGGCGGCCCGGCGCAGGAGGGCCAGCGCCTCCTGGCGCCGCGGCGACGCCTCGCCGGCGGCGTGACGATGACGCCTCGTCGCCAACGTCGTCGTCGTAGTCGTCGTCTTCGCCGCCGTCGTCGTCGTCGGCCTCGACGGCGTCGTCGCCGTGGGCGCCGTAGCCGTCGTCGTCGTCGTCGTCGTCGTGGTCGTCGTCGTGGTCATCGGCGTCGTGGTCGTGGTCGTCATTGTTGCCGTCGTCGTCGTCGTCGTCGTCGGTGTGGTCGCCGTCGTCGTCCTCGTCGTCGTCGTCGTCGTCGCCGTCGTCGTCGGTGTAGTCGTCGTCGCCGTCGTCGTCGTCGTCAACGTCCTCGTCGCCGTCATCGTCGTGGTCGTCGTCGTGGTCGTCGTGGTCGTCGTGGTCGTCGTTGCCGTCGTCGTCCTCGTCGTCGTCGTCGCCGTCGTCGTCGTCGCCGTCGTCGTCGTCGTCGTCGTCGTCGAAGTCGTCGTCGCCGTCGTCTTCGTCGTGATCGTCGACGTCATCGTCGCAGTCGTTGTACTCATCGGTATCGTCGTCGTCGCCGTCGTCGTCGCCATTGTCGTCGTGGTCGTAGTCTTCGCCATCGCCGTGGTCGTGGCCCCAGTCGTCATCGTCGTCGTCGTCGTAGCCGTCGTCGTCGTCGTCGTCGTCGTCGTCGTCGTCGCCGTGGCCGTCATTGTCGTCGTCTTCGTCGTCGTCGTGGTCGTCGTCGCCGTCGTCGTCGTCGTCGTTGGCGTCGTCGCCGTGGTCGTCGCCGTGGTCGTCGGCGCCGTCGTCGTCGTCCACGTGGTCGTCGTCGCCGTCGTCGTCGTCGTCGGCGTCGCCACCGTCGTGGTCGTCGCCGTCGCCGTCGTCGCCGCCGCCGTCGTCGTCGCCGTGGTCGTCGTCGTCGTCGACGTCGTCGTCGTGGTCGTCGTCGCCGTCGTCGTCGTGGCCGTCGTCGTCACCGTCGACGTCGTCAGCGTGGTCGTCGTTGTCGCCGTCGTCGTCGTTGCCGTCATCGTCGTCATCGTCGTCGTCGTCGCCGTGGTCGTCGCGGTCGTCGTCGTGGTCGTCTTCGTCGTCGTCGTCGCTGTGGCCGTTGTCGGCGCACTGTTCGTCGTCGTCGCCGTCGCCGTCGTCGTCGTCGTCATCGTCGTCGTCGTCGACGTGGTCGTCGCCGCCGTCGTCGTCGGCGTCGTGGTCGTCGTCGTAGTCGTCGTAGTCGACGGTGTCGTCGTCGACGTCGTCGCCGTCGTCGTCGCGTCGTCGTCGTCGTCGTCGTGGTCGTTGCCGTCGTCGTCGTCGTCGTCGTCGTCGTCGTCCTCGTCGTCGTCGTCGTCGTCGCCGTGGCCGTCGGCATTATTGTCGCCGTCGCCGTCGTCGGCGGCGTCGTCGCCTTGGTCGTCGTCGCCGTCGTCATTGTCGCCGCCATCGTCGTCGTCGTCGTTGTCGATGTCGTTGTCGTCGTCATCGTCGTCGTCCTCGTCGTGGTCGTCGTCGCCATCGTTGCCGTCGTCGTCGTCGTCGTCGTCGGCGTGCTCGTCGTCGCCGTCCTCGTCACCGTGGTCGCCGTTGTCGTCACCGTGGTCGTCGTCGGAGTGGTCGTCGTCGCCGCCGTCGTCGTCGACGTCGTCGTCAACGCCGTCGTCGCGGTCGTCGTCGTCATCGTCGTCGCAGTCGTCGTCGCCGTCGTCGTCGCCGTAGTCGTCGTGGACGTCGTCGTCATCGTCGTCGTCGGCGTCGTCGGCGTGGTCATCGTCGCCGTCGCCGTCGTCGCCGCCGTCGTCGTCGTCGTCGCCGTCGTCGTCGTGGTCGTCGTAGCCGTCGCCGTCGTCGTCCTCGTTGTCGTCGGCGCCGTCGTCGTCGTCGACGTCATCGTCGTCGCCGTGGTCGTGGCCGCCTTCGTCGTCGTCGTCGTCATCGTTTTCGTCGTCGAAGCCGACGTCGTCGTCGTCGTTGCCGTCGTCGTCGTCATCGACATGATCGTTATTGCCGTCGTCGTCGTCGGCGTCGTCGCCGCCGTGGTCGTCGTCGGCGTCGTCGCCGTCGTCGTCGTCGCCGTCGTCGTCACCATCGTCGTTGTCGTCGGCGACGTCGTCACCGTTGTTGTCGAAGTCGTCGTCGACGTGGTCGTCGTGGCCGCGTCGTCGTCGTCGTCGCCGTCGTCGTCGTCGTCGTCGCCGTCGTCGTCGACGTCGTCGTCGTCGTCGTCGCCGGCGTCGTCGTCGGCGTGGTCGTCGTCGTTGCCGTCCTCGCGTCACCGTCGTCGTCGTCGTCGTCGTCTTCGTCGTCGTCGTCGTCGTCGTTGTCTGTCGTCGTCGTGGTCGTCGTTTTTGTCGCCGTCGCCGTCATCGTCGTCGTCGCCGTCGTCGTCGCTGTGCTCGTCTTCGCCGTCGTCGTCGTCGTCGTCGTTTTCGGCGTGGTGGTCGCCGTCGTCGTCGTCGGCGACGTCGTCGTCGTCGTCGTGGTCGTCGTGGTCGTCGTCGTCGTCGTCACTGTCATCGTCAACGTCGTAGCCGTCGTCGTCGTCGTCGTCGTTGTCGTCGACGCCGCCGCCGTTGTCGTGGTCACCGTCGACGTCGTCGTCGTCGTCGTCGGCGTCGTCACGCCGTCGTCGTCGTCGTCGTCGACGTCGCCGTGGTCGTGGCTGCCGTCGTCGTCGTCGTCGTCGTCGTCGTCATCGTCATCGTCGAAGTCGGCATGGTCGCGGCCGTCGTCGTCGCCGTCGTCGTCGTCGCCGTCGTCGGCGTCATCGTCGCCGTAGTCGTCGCAGCGGCGTGGCCGCCGTCGTCGTTGCCGTCATCGTCGTCACCGTCGAAGCCGTGGTCGACGTCGTCGTCGTCGCCGTCGACGTGGTCGTCGCCGTCGTCGTTGTCGTCGTCGTCGTGGCCACTATCGTCGTCGTCGGCGTGGTCGTCATCGCAGCCGTCGTCGTCGTCGTCGTCGTCGTCGCCGTCGGCGTGGTCACCACCGTCGTCGTCGTCATCGTCGTCGTCATGATCGTCGTCACCGTCGTTGTCGTCGTCTTGGTCGTGGCCGCAGACGCCGTCGTCGCCGTCGTCGTCGCAGTTGTCTTGGCAACCGTCGTGGTCGTCGTCGTGGTCGTCGTCGCCGCCGCAGTCGACGTTGTCGTCGTCGACGTTATCGCCGTCGTCGCCGTCAACGGTCGTCGCCGTCGTCGTCGCCGTCGTCGTCGTCGTCGACGTCTCCGTGGTCGTGGCCGCTGTCGTCGTCGTCGTCGTCGCCGTAGTCGTCGTCGCCGTCGCCGTCGACGACGTCGTCGTCGTGGTCGTCGTTGCCGTCGTCGTCGGCGTGGTCGCCGTCGTCGTCGTCGTCGTCCTCGTAGGCGGCGTGCTCGTCGTGGTCGTCGTCGTCGCAATCGTCGTCGCCGTCGTCGTCGTCGTCGTGGTCGCCGTTGTCGACGTCGCCGTCGTCGTCGTCTTCGTCGTCGTCGGCGTTGTCAACGCCGTCGTCGTCGTCGTCGGCGTCGTCGTCTTCATCGTCGCCGTGGTCGTCGTCGCCGCCGTCGTCGCCATGATCGTCGTCGCCTTCGTCGTCGTCGTCCTCGTCGTCGTCGTCGTCATCATCGTCGTCGTCGACGCCGCCGTTGTCGTCGCCGTCGTCGTCTCTTTTGTAATCGCCGTCGTCGCTGAGGTCGTCGACGTCGTCGGCGTGGTCGTCGAAGTCGTCGTCGCCGTCGTCGACGTCGTCGTCGTGGTCCTGGCCGCCGTCGTCGTCGTCGCCATCGTCGCCGTGGTCGTCGTCGTCGTCGTGGTCGTCGTCGCCGTCGCCATCGTCGTCTTCGTCGGCGTCGTCGTCGACGTCGTCGTCGCCGTCGGTCGTCGTCGTCGCCGTCGTCGTCGGCGTGGTCGTCGTCTGCATTGTCGACGTATACGTCGGCGTCGTCGTCGTCGCCATGGTCGTCGTCGTCGTCGCCGCGGTCGTCGTCGCCGTCATCGTCGTCGTCGCCGTCGTCGTCGGCTTGGTCGCAGTCGTCGTCGTCGTCGTTATCGTCGTCGTCGCCGTGGTCGTGGGCGTCGCCGTCATCGTCGTCGTCGTCGCCGCCGTCGTCGTCGTCGGCGTGGTCGCCGCCATCGTCATCGTCGTCGCCCTTGTGGTGGTCGTCGTCGTCGTCGTCGCCGTGGCCGTCAGGACGTCGGTGTGGTCCTCGTCGTCGTCGTCGCCGTCGTCGTGGTCATCGTCGTCGTCGTAGGCTTGGTCGTCGCCGACGTCGCCGTCGTCGTCGACGCCGTCGTCGTCGTCGGCGCCGTCGTCGTCGTCGTTGTCGCCGTCGTCGTCGTCGTCGTCGCCGTCGTGGTCGGCGCCATCGTGCCGTCGTCGTCGCCGTCGTCGTCGTCGCAATGGCCGTCGTCGCTGCCGTCGTCGTCGCCGTCGGCGTCGTCAGTGTGGTCGTCGGCGGGGTCGTCGCCGTCGTCGTCGTCGTCGCCGTCGTCGTCGCCGTCGTCGCCGTGGACGTCGTCGTCGTCGTCGCTGCCATCGTCGTTGCGATCGCCATCGACGTCGTTGTCGTCGTCGTCGTCGCCGTGGTCGTGGCCGCCGTCGTCGTCGTCGTCGTCGTCGCCGTCTCCTTCGTCGTCGCCGTCCTCGGCGTCGCCGCGGTCGTCGTCGCCGTCGTCGACGTCGTCGGCGTGGTCGTCGCCGTCGCAATCGCCGTCGCAATCGATGCCGTCGCCATCGTCGTCATCGTGGTGGTCGTCGCCGTCGTCGTCGTGGTCGTCGTCGTCGTCGTCGGCGTGGTCGTCGCCATCACCGTCGTCGTCCTCGTGGTGGTCGTTGTCGTCGTTGCCGTCGTCGCCGTCGTCGTCGTCGCCGTCGTCGTCGTCGTCGTCGTCGTCGTCGTGGCACTAGTCGCGGGCGTCGCCACCGTCGTCCTCGTCGTCGTCGCCGTCATCGTCGTCGTCGTCGTCGGCGTGGCCGTTGCCGTCGTCGTCGTCGGCGTCGGCGTCGTCGTCTCCGTCGTCATCGTCGCCATGGTCCTCGTTGTCGCCGTGGTCGTCATCAGAATCGTCGTCGCCGTCGTCGTCGT